CCGAAAGTGAGCAGAGGGTACCCGTCTCTGCCTTTCCCTCGCAAATACTGCTCATGCTCAAACCTGCAGACAACAGAACAAGAGCAGCTCCAAGTTCCAGATTGGAGTGGGAAATGGGATATTGGGGGTAGGGGTAAGGGGAAAACAAGAGTGATTGGCAGGTTATTAACCATCATGCAAGACAGTCAGTGCAATGAGCTTCCATCCTGGGAAGAGGTTTGTTCTGGTTCTATTTTATAAGGTTCTGAACTTCACAGATCTCACAGGATTCTGATGTCTTTGGCTAATGTGGGATCACAGGAGCCAGTGGAATGTCCAGAATGAGGCTACATGGCTGAAGAAAAGCCTCCTTCGCTTCAGAAGCTGCCTCTTCCATATTGCAGATGATGTTTGATAAAGTTGCTCAGTTCTTGGTGCCAGCTTCCCAAGCTCTCAGATGGAAACAGAGCCCCAGCTCCCAGCACCTCAAGTAAGGCAGGCAGAGCACAGGGCTGCTGTTGCTTACGGCCTGACTGCAAAGACACTACGGCAAAGATAAGCTCACTTCCACCCATGCAGATAACACCCTTCCCTGACAGCTGTGCCAATGTTTCTGAACCCCAAAGCTCATTCCTGAATGAAAAGGAAATATTTGCCCATATGGAGGAGGTCGAGGCACCCCTACACACACACACACACACACACACACACACTTTCTGAATCGTGGGGTCCTGGCCTGTCCTGTACCTCAGAACTCAGGCATATTGTGAGGAGAGGGACAGGACTCCAGTTGCGCAGGGTAACTCAGCATATCCCTGCAGAAAACACCAGCAAGGGGTTCGAGTGAACCAAGTGAGCAAGAACAATCATGAAGTGAGGTCCTGGTAAGCCCCAAGGTTGCAGACAGTGTGACATCCCAGTGATGAGAACAGTAGTCCGTGCTTATTAGTGAGCCTCTGAGGTGGCAGGGGAAAGCTGGGACCCTGGTGTCCCAGGAGCAATCACTATGGCCAGGCTTACAACAACTTTGCGTCCATCCATTCTCTGAAGTCTCTCAGCTCAGATGGAGGCTGGGGGGGTGGTCAAGAGGCTCTGCTCTCTTGCCATCTCTGAGAAGAAGTCAAAGCACTTACTCACTAGATATGTCTGGAAAAATGAACGGTGGGACAGCTTCTATCTTTGCCTCTACAGAAAACGCAATTACTGCCACCAACAACAGTCCATGAGGGCCACAGCTCTGACCATCAAAGGGCCTGGGTCCAGCATGGTTCCCTGAAACCTTTGAGCAGACCTTTCACACAGCCCTTGATGCACAGCCCCACAGTGGTGTCCCCATTGCACCCATTTTACAGATGTGAATGCTGAGCTCCAAGTCCTCAACCAGGAAGACCACCTGAAAGCTACCCAAGAGGAGCTGAAAGTCTGCATTCTACATACCTTTTCTTCCTCTCTGTGTAGCTTTGCACAACTTCCCTTAAATGTCATAGAAACCCCAAGAATCAGATCCAAACTAATGAGGCAAAGGGGCCATGCCTGAGGGAGCAAGCAGCTGCCAGAGACTGCCTGCCAAGGCCACTACAGCTGGGCTCAGATTGTATATGCCATGGAGCTGAACAAGACACTGAGCAGCCTCTACCTTGGCCCTGGGAGTCTCCTCCCCGACTGTCTCCCTCAGAGTGTCTTCACTCTTCTCAAGCATCTCTGTGGGGCCATGGACACCCCAGGCTTCCCCGAGGGCACCACCCCAAGCTATGTGGAGCTAAGCAAATCTGCACAGAAGAGGTGCTGAGCAAGCTTGTGCCACTAGTAGCCAGGCCTCTACCTCAGCACCAGCACCCTCCCACTCTCAAATCCAGAGTGCTATGGAACAAACTGGCCTTTAACAAGCATAATAATCTTGTGGGAAGAAATGGCCATTGGAGAAGTTTCCAGAAAGAACCTTCTAGAGAAGTCAGATGGTGAAAATGGGAAAAGAGCAAGCACTATTATCTGAAACCTGGAAAGCAAAGAGTTAAATCACTTCTATTTCAAAAAGGATAAAAATTCTGTTTCAAGGAGACACAGAGAAGCTGAGGCCAGGCCCCCACCTCTGCCATTATACCCTTAAGAAGCAAAGAGGAGGAAAAGTCCCCATTGGCCACCCTCTGCCTTGCTGCCCTAGCTGGTCTTCATTAAGGAAGACAGGTCCAATTTCCCGCCGTGAGCACAGCTAACAGCCAGGAAACCCTGGGGCTGGGAAAACACAGCCCTCAGACCATTAACAACTTGTGGTCAACAAAAATCCCTGGCTTCTGGCAGCTGCTCTCCCTCAAATCAAATTCCACGGCAGGAGAAAATAGCTCACCAGAAATATGGGACTGTGAGCGCATTGCAACCTGCTGTTCCTACCAAGTTGCCAGTCATCAGCTGCAGGGTGAGACCCACCCTATGTATGGCAAGAGAAAGAAAAAAAGGCAAAACTGGACTCTGCAGCCTGTATTCAATTGGGTTTGAAAATTGGGACCTGTCTTCATTCTCAACACAAACTGGTAAACCATTACAGAATGCTTGCTAAGGACCACGTGTATGTATGCCTTCTGTGGATTGACTTGATTCTTGCATACACACACACACACACACACACACACACTATTATCATCTCCATTTTGCAGATGGGAAAAAACCCAGCCAAGATCTCTGAGCTGGGTCTAGTTCCCTGAGCTTCAGTGGCACCTTCCCACACATTCTGGAGAAACAGTACTGGCTGCTCCATTACAGAATTTGTTTGGATATCCTATGTTTTAAGACGGAGCAAGGCTGAGGAGACAGCTCAATCAATAAAGTGTTCGTCACACAAGTATCAGGACCTAAGGTTGAAGCCCCAGAACTGAGCACGGTGGTACATGCCTGCCATACTGGATCTGGGGATGTGGAAACAGTAGAACTCCTGGAGTTTAGTGACCATCCAGTCCCGCCAAGTCAGTGAGCTCCAGGCTCAGTGAGAGACCTTGCCTCAAAAAAACAGGTGGAAAGTGACTGAGGAAGACATTTGACATTGACTGCTGGCCTTCGTGTACTCATATATACATGTGCAAATGTACACAAGCATGAACATGAATGCATGCACGTGCATAAAACACACACACACACACACACACACACACACACACACACAAACACACACACACACACTTTTTTAAAGACCCAAAGCTTTTCCAGAAACTTGCTAATAAAAGGCACCCTGCAGAAACGACAAGCATTTGGCACAGCCTGACACCACTAGCAGGCAGCAGACTCAGTCAGAGCTGATGATTTGCTCTGCCCTGGGATGTCCTTGCATGCCTGCCCTCTAGAATTTGGTCACCAGAAACTGGCCAGCAGAAGTCACCTGGCCCCGCTGGCTAAGAGTTCTCTACCCAGCTCCTCAGGTGCCCCTCTCATTCACACTCTCTAGGGCAGCCAGCATCTTAGGTTTTGCCAAGATCCTCCCACAGGGTAATCAGTAAAAGCGGTACTTGACCCCAGGCCAGCTGTCAGCACCAGCCCCCTAGAAGAGGCCAGCAGGCACTTCTGTCTAGCTGAAGACACTCAGCCACCCTCCAGTTCATCCCAGATTCTTGGGCAAGTCTGGTCAGAAGCATGCAATGAGGGCAGGGCCATGGTTCACAGGATCCGGCACTGTCTGAACAATACGTGTGCCCACCCCACCTAGCAGAAGCCCCCAGGCTACAGTGTCGTAAAAAACAGCCTTAGGAAGGCAGCTGAGCCACACCCTGCTCCCATCTTCTCCTGGAGGGCCACTCCATTTCCACAGAAGGCAGCTGGCTGTTCTAGAATCTCCTCCACTATTCACTGGAGGTTCCATCCCGTCTTCACCCTCGCTGACTCTGGCCTAACTTCCACACTCATCCGACACTCCTTACCGCACTCAACCACATGTCATTTTTGTCACAGGTCTATGTAGTAGTCACACTGCAATTCCACGTCAGGCCACAAACTACTGGCAGAGCACTTAGGGTCATCTCGGCATTGCATCCAATTTGCTGGGCCCTGAGTCATTGAAAGGACATGGCCCTGAAACCCCACTGCAGCTGTGAGGCCATCAGCAAGCCTCAGTCAGACACAAGGTCACCTGGTGGTGACCCAACACAGTGAGTAAATGACATTCACATGGTATTTGGGGATTTAGGAGGGCATTGCCCCATCCTGTCCCACCCAACCCCTAAGAGTCAAGATAGTCCTCATAGACCATTTTCCAGGTGATTATCAAACTTCTCTAGCTAGGGAGTCCTGTACCCCCAAACTTCCCACAAAGTCCAGAGTATGCCAAAGAAAAATAACTGGGTCAAGTGTCCCAGCCCAAGGCCTCAGGCTCCAGGACACAGACCTCAGTGATAGCAACAGGTGCTGTCTCAGTTCACCTCATTTCAGGCGACCTCTGGGACCACCAGACACTTGCACAGGCTCTCAACCTTCTTCCTGAAGCAAGGCAATTCCAAGCATCCCTCCATGCCCAACAAGAATCAAGAGGACTCTGTGCACTACAATGCAGGTCCCAGCCCCTGCTCTGCTTGTCTTCCTGCTCCTGTCTCCTTGGTGTTTCCCAGCAAGCAGGCTCTGTTGGACCAGGCTGGAACATCACTGACTTAGCACACACACACTGAGTCAGCAGGTCCTCTCCTGACAGTCCCACTATGTGGCCCAGCTCTGCCCTGCAAGTCCATTCAATCAAAAGGTGCCAATCAGAACAAGCTTCTTGTGTCCTGTTTCCACCCCAACCTGGCACCCAGGAGAGACACAGTGAGTTGCTTGTGTCTCAAAGGAAAGGGGCAGTCACTGCCATCCCTGCACGGCTCTCATATGGAGCCAGTCTGGCCTCTCTTCCCACAGGCCACAGCATCCTATGGGAAGCAATAGAGTCAAACTGGTCCCTAACGGAGGAGATGGATCTCCCACAGTAGCCATAGCATCCCTACATGAGGAGCCACCACTTGGCCCCAAGTGTCCCAAGTGGCATGGGGGAATGCCTATCTCAGGCCTACCTCAAATATTTCGTCATCCAGAATCCGAGAGCCAAACATGATGATGCCATTGACATCTATTATGGGGTGGTCACTGCGGTTGAGGAACTTCACAACCTTCTTTTTACAGTCAAGAATCAGGGTGACATTTTTCCTGTAGACACTGATAGCAATCCGGTGCCACCTGCAAAAACACGGATATTTAGGCAGGGAAAGGGTTACATACTGCAGAAGGCCAATGTGTAGCCTCAATGGCAGTGTCATGTCAGTGCACCTAGGGCCATATACTGCATAGCCTCTGAGTGGCAAATTTGGGCACAAGTCTGGGAACTATCACATGGGAATCTTACTGTCACTTAGAGAATCTCTAGGAGTCAAGAAGGGATCGCCCCCTGGCTTCAGAACCATTTTTCAAAGGCTACAGTAGGCTTCTTTCCCATTGTGTCTACAGCATCCATAGGCAACAAGAACTTAATGCCTACAAACCAGAGAGCACGTGCCCTAGTTCAGAGTTGTCTCTGTTTAACTCCTCTTTGAGTGTGACTGGGAAGGTTCTTCTGAGCTTCTAAGAGTCCTGCTCTATAAAGTATGCTGTCAGCCACATTTCTACAGTAAGGAGAGCCAGACTCAGGAAAGAGCACTTGTAATGCAAGCACTTCTTGGGGATAGATGTAAAATACAAGAGACCCGTACTTTTCACTAGTCCACTCAGACCCTCAGAATCAGACTTCTCTTCTCAAGATGCAAACCCCGTGAGCTCCTGGGGTGCCCATGGAAGGTTTGAGCTTGATGGCTCAGGGTGGGTTCAGCCATAGGAAGGAGGCATAGCGGGGCTGCAGTCACAGTAACATTATCACGAGAGCCCCAGTCTTTATTCAGGATAGAAACCCTATGGCAACTGTGGAGTGGATGTGATAGATTGGCAGGGTCATGCCAGAAAACTCAGGAGCCATGGCCCAAAGTCCCCAAGGTTACCTTGTGGGTGATCAGCATTTAGGTTGCCCCCTGCAGAATATTGGGGACAGGCCTTTGTTTTCTTCACTCACACAGAGACTGTGTCAGATCCAGAAAAGGTAAGTCTCTTTGGGAACAGGCAGGCATGGCCACATAATCTCCTCTGTCCCTTTTGATCTAGGGTTAGCATGGGATGCACTCATTCTACAGGGAAACAGGCCTAGGGAACAACAAAGGTCCTAGAGAACCCAGGCCTTGGGACTCCAGGTCCAGTCCCCTGCAGTGGGCATCATATGCTATCTACTACCTGGCTAGCTACTGCCACATGCTGTCTGGCCAGCAGCTCTACTCCCTCCCTCAACAGGATACTTACTTGCCATCAGACAAGTTGATGCCAGGGAAGAGTGGATACTCCTCAGGCCCGGGCTTCCCTGTGTGGTCCTCATAGAGGAAGACTGGGGAGCGGCCCAGCTCCAGCCCCACCTGCTGGATGCCCTGCTCATTGTAAACAGAGACCAGGAAGGCCTGGCTGCCTTTCTTGGCTTTCACGGTAGTCAGGATGGAGAAGTCCTCAGGAAAATCAGAGTCTGGAACAGAGGATAGGGTGAGAAGACCTTAGGAGAACCCCAATCCTGGCCAGCCACATCGAGCAGCCGATAGGCCAGCTTAAAGATCTGGCAAACCCACCCATATGCAGTGCCACTCTGCAGCTCACCTGTCCTGAGATCAAGCTTCTACAGCCTCCTCTACCACCAGGGATCAAGTTGCCAAGTCAAGGCATACTTCAAATGCAAGCTTCTCCAGCAAACCCCAGTGGCCATTCCAGCGAGGAGCCTGCAATGCCCTCTCCTTGGCTCCATCCTACAACTCCACTCATCTGCTTACAAGTCCTACTCATGAGCCACTGGACTGAGAGTGCCTTCAGCAGAGGCAGCTTTTGAAGTATCTCCATGTCTACCATTGCATGAAAGCCTGGGCACAGTATGTCTCATTCATTGTGAATCGAAAGGGATCAGAGTTGTGGAGGAGACGGAAGTGAGAGGCTGATGAAGGCCACAGGTGTACTGTCCTCCTTGTAGAGGGCTGAGAGTCTGGGGTATGGGCCGAGACAGGGCAGGAGTGTCTGAGTATCCCCACTACTCCATTAGAGTTGGAACAAAGTCAACCGTTTGGCCCAGAAGACCACAAGTCACTGCTCGGCTACACGGTTCCCATGCAAAGCTATCCAAGGGTGCCCTCTGCTGACAGAATTATGCTGCAGGTACCATGCTGTGGGGAAAGTAAGATATCTTAGGACTTGGAGTCCTAGGGGGACTTGACTGCCATCCTTTCCCACTTCCAATGTTGGGCACAGGCAGAGAGAGCTTGTGGAGGCTGTGAGATCTCTTGGCAGTGACACTATTCAGGACCCAGGGGTGGCTCAGGGCATGGTGGGATAGGAAGCCAGTGAAAGAACCACTCCACGGAGTCATGACATATATCATTAAGGGGCCCTCAGACTCTAACATGGAACAGTCACATGTCTTAGCCCAAGTCATGTACCTCTGTAAGAGGCTGGGTGTCCACGGAGCTGCTTGGAAGGAGACAGGTGAGACCTCACCACCGCCTTGCTGCCCTGGGCACCGTTTGGGGATGTTAAGGAAGATGGAGGTCTCTCTCAGCCCTAGCTGGCGTGGGTAGACAAGGTCTGACATGCATGCCCAGCTGAAACCCCTACCACTGAAGAGCAGTTGGCCATGCCAGTGGAAGTGCCTTGTCACTGTAGGAAGTGGACACCAGAGTGAGCCCTAGCTGGCGTGGGTAGACAAGGACTGACATGCATGCCCAGTTGAAACCCCTACCACTGAAGAGCAGTTAGCCATGCCAGTGGAAGTGCCTTGTCACTGTAGGAAGTGGACACCAGAGTGGTCCTGGATGTCACTGTCTGCATTTGGGGTGGGCCGTGCAGTCATTATACCATCTCTGTGCCCACCCTGCTCTGTCCCTTGCAGTCATTGACTGGAAGAATGAGAAGAGTGGGACATGAGAGAGTCCTCTTTCTCCATCATGATCTACGGCTGAGGACAGCCAGCTCGTCTCTTCCAGCTCATTCAAATGCTCTTTCTCAATGTTTAAAATCACTATGGTAACAAATTTTCTCAGCTCAGACAAAACTTGAAAAAGATAAATTATGTTGAACATTAATCTTTCTCCTGGCAAAATAACAATGGATTTATAGTCACTTTAAGAAGGTCCCTTCTCAACTGTGACAGCAGCCGGCCACTGACACTGTACTCCAAGCTTCTGGGTAGTCTGGGAGAAATGCATCTGCTGTCTGGTGCTTCCTAATTCATCTCACTCAGAAAAGCCACCACTGAGAGGTAAGCACAGCAGAGGGACAGCTACTTCCCTTATGGTATATCCTCTCTCCTTCCACTGACACCCAAAGACACCTGTACATGGCAGGAATACAGTAGGAGGCTAATAAGTGCGGTTGCCATGGCATTGACTCAGTCTAAGTCAATGGTTATGGGCAGGCTAATGGATCACTTGCCTTGGTGAGGTAATCAATAATTATGAAAATTCCTCTAAAATGGGCTAGGCTCCAGGGAGAAGTCAAGGGACAAAGTCATGGTCCTCACTCCCAGGAAGTGACATTTCCACAAGGGACAGAAACAATGCATAAGCTATTTGGATAATAGTCAATGTGCAGTGGCTGGGCGGGGGTGGGGGTGATGAAAGAGATAAGGGGCAGGACATTAGACAGCCAGGAAGCCAGCAAGGCATCTCAGTGGCCCCTGGTAGGGCCATTGCTTCCCTTCTCATCCTCTTCCCTCCACCTCCACAGGGAACCGTTCATTGGCCCTGGGGAAGATGGTGAGTCTGAAGAACACCTGTCATCTACTACTTCCTGCAGGATGGGTTACTCTGGGGTCACCCAGTCTGGCCCCCGGGCCCTCAAGTGAAGACATGGCACCTGCAGCTGGTCTATCACCTTGAGATTCCTGGACCTAACAGGGAGTAAGGGGAAGTGCCTCCAATCCCAAGTAGATGCCAGAGGTGGGCCATCTACCCAAAGTATGGGGTGTATAAGGGTGGGGCATCTTTTAACCAGGGGTCCTACATCCTACTGTACAGGGATGCAAGGGACAAGATGTCCCTAAACTGGAGGATTCCATATACCACTCTATGTGTGGACAAGAGGCAGGACATCCGTCCCTCAACCAAGGGACTTCACATATTGATGGGGGTATAAGGTGAAGGCCATCCTGTATGAGGGAGGAAGGGAAGAACATTGTTAAACTAAGAGATCCTGCATCCTATTGTATAGGAAATGGGATGAAGTAGCCCTCACCCAGGGAATCCCACATACTACAGTATGGGTGGGACGGGCACAGCCTCTCAGAGCATACACAGTTCTGATCGCTGAAGGAATACAGTATCTCTGATCGGATGCTGTATTCTCACACTGCCCTAGCTCCTTCTGTCACATGGGGCCTGCTCAGGCAGCCAGCACCCTGCCCACCACCCATGACCATGGTCCAGGGCCTGCACTCCAAGAAGTAGTTCATCCTGCAGTCAACAGCAGACTGGCTGGACCCACGTCCTCTAGCAGTGAGGGTGGGACGGGCAACAGTGGCAGAAGACTGCTCTCCTGGGCTGAGGCTACTTCTAGAACCTGGGGCCTTCTGGAGACTTAGGCTCCTGAAGTAAAGATGGAGCCCTGGCAAGAGGCAATGAGAAGAAGGCCTCCAGGCCAACCACCCAGCCTGAGTCCTGAGTTAGCCAGACATCTTGGATACCTCCTCACAGCAGGGTGCTGAGGACAGCAGAGGGAAAACCTCAGTGCCCAGCACAAGAACAATGAGAACTGAGCTGCTACACCCAAGGTGAGACCAGGGGTCCTGCCATAGTGTTACTTAGGAGCTGGTGCTGGCTGGGTAGAGGCAGGAACAGTAAAGCTTGGCTACATACAGGGAGGATCCATGGCCACCTTCACGCTTTTGATATAGGGCCTGCCCTGTGGGAGAGAATGGCTGGACCCTACTCCATGGACAAGCATGCCCAGCCATCTAGAGACCCAGATGTGCACAGGCTATGAATGGAAAATCAAGAACAGTAAAGCTTGGCTATATACAGGGAGGATCCATGGCCACCTTCATGCAGGTCCCATTAGCTTCTTTTTGATACAGAGCCTGCCCTGTGGGAGAGAATGGCTGGACCCTACTCCATGGACAAGCATACCCAGCCATCTAGAGACCCAGATGTGCACAGGCTATGAATGGAAAATCAAGCAACCCACTAGAGTAAGACTGTCATGGAGTTCAGCCACTAACCATGGGCTTCACTGGACATGAAGGCCATTACATGTATTCATGCCCTGCTCAATCCAGCCTTGCTGCAGTTGCCTGGAGCCCTCAGGCTTCTAGTGCAGCTCCTGCCACAGCCAGACTCCCTACCCAGCACTCTGGAGGGAGGCACGTAGTAGCACGGAGCGACTCTCATTCTTACCTAGGCCGCTGCAATGGCTTGCATGTGACCATGGAAGTTCTATGGAAGCCATCCCTCGAGGTCTGACCCGTTTCCTGAGCACTTGTCAATCAGAAAGCCTGCAGGGCCTTCCAGGGTTTCCCAGGATTAACCACCTGCTCTGAGGTATGCAGCCTCATACACCACGTGATGTATAATGCTGTCCCTTGACCAGCTTTCCCAGACTGGCCTGTGGGACCAGAGGACTCCACAGAAATTCCTCTGCAGGTACTCTGAAGCCACCCTGGCTCCACTGGCCTTTGACACTCACTGCCTGGCCCAGTGCCATACTCCATTAGAGCAACACTGAGTGTCTAATCATGTTACTAATTTGAGGGCAAGAGAAAAACAAAAACAAAACTCTCTCAGGACTGGGGCTGGGACTCAGCTGGCAGAGTGCTCTCTTGGCACACATGGAGTCCCGGGCTCAATCGCCAGCACCACATAAACCTCATACTGGCACATGCCTGAAATCTTAGGGCTAGAAAGGTGGGTGCAAGAGGATCATAAATTCAAGGACAACATTGGCTATAAAACAAAATTTGAGACTAGCCTAGAATACCTGATACCCTGTCAATAAATGAATAAATAATAAATAAAATAAATCCCAGGGATGTGGTAAAAAGTCTGTGATCCCCACACTGGGGAGTCTAAGGCAAGAGGATAAGAGCTCAGGACAGGCTAAAGCCAGGCACAGTGGCACATGCCTATAATCCCAGTGCTTGGGAGGTGGAGGCAGTAAGACCAAGAGTTCAAAGTCTCCTTAGATGTTTGGCAAGTTCAAGGCCAGTCTGAGCCTATGTGGACTTGTCTCAAAAACAAAATAACAGCAACAAACAAAACAGCAACCACAAAAATATCCCCTATCATATGGTTCAGGAATCCACTCCATTTCCTGGGCTCAGTGACCTGATCCTGCAAGAATTCTACCATAAGCTAGTCCAGGAGGAAAAGAGTGACAGGCAGGAATTCTAGCAACCTGTTCTCCTAGCTCTCTTGCCTTGGGTGACAGTGGTAAGAGAAACTAATATCTGCAGGCTGTCTAGAGGTCCCCTGGCTGGGAGCCTTTTTTCCACAGCCATTCCCACCGCAGCAGCATACCTTGCTGTCCCTGGCCAGCCTCTTTCAGCCCTTCCCTGGGCCTAGGCCTCAATGCCTCCAATTCAGGAGGCATGATGCCCAATTCTAGCTCTTGGGCCACAAGGCAGAAAAAAAATACAACTCTCTGGGAATACTGGGGGTTCCCAAGGTGACCTCCCCCAAAATATATGCTCTTTCCAAAAATAAGGCACAGTATCACTGCAGCTTCCCATGAGGAAGGGTGAGGTTCTCACTCAGAAAGGGTCATGATGGGTCATCTATGTTTACAGATGACATGCATTCTCTAAACTGGGCATCTGTGATCCAGGGTGGTTCTGCACCAAAGGCATGCTCCTTGGAGACACCAGGCTGCTCCTCCCTGTAGTTGCATGATACCCATCCATTCAAAATGACACCTCAAACCAAAGCACCTAGCTTCCCCCGCAGACACAAACTTTTAAAATCACAATGACTTCAGATAGACACTGGGAGGTGGGGAACTAACCCAGACAGCAGAAGGTCAGAGGAAGTGACAACACAACCAGCAAGAGCATCCTTCTGGGATACAGTGGAAATATGAGGATCACAAGGACAAGACAGCTTGCTAAAACTGCCTTATTCTGGTCCAATGTTGGGGGAATCATGTCCAGACCACCAAAAGATTGAACGCAGACTTCTAATCACAGAAAGGGAGTGTCTTTTGCCTGACTCACCTCTTGCTCAAGTCAGCAGAGTCAGGGCACATCAGGCTGAGCCAGCAGGCCCTCCTGAGGCAGGGAAAGAGGAATCCATCACCTGCCCATCACAGAATAATCCCAGAGCATTTAATCAATGCCAGTGAGTGTGGAGGATAGGAGCTAACTACCCAAGAGGGTGAATAATTTAGATGCATACCTCCATCCAAAATGGCTCCCTCCAGATGTGTAATTAAAAGCAGAGGTCTGGCACCTGGCAGCAGATCCTCATTAAGAATCTCTCCTGAAGCCGGGCATTGGTGGTGCATGCCTTTAATCCCAGCACTTGGGAGGCAGAGGCAGGCGGATCTCTGTGAATTCTCTTTACCTCACCCCTGAGGGGAATCTGCCTCCTTTCTGCCCTTTGTCATCATGGTCTGTCATTGGTGGAAACATGCCTCCTTGGACCCCTTAAGGCGCAGACGAGGCCTTGGGTGAACACACACATGGGTGGTAGGTTTCACTATAGGAGGAGGACTCCCAGAAAGTACACTTGTGGCTCTGCTACAAACACACACTTCAGCGTCTCCATTGCTCCATGGAGTCCCAGCATTGCCCCCACCACCCAGAGCAGGAATGCCACTTACCAGGGTACAGCTGCTTGGTGGGCATGCTGAGTTGTGCATCTTTAGAGACTCGGTAGGCAACATCCGGCCCTCTGGAAGACCGTCGAGTGGCACAGAAACCTGTGGTTTTCGTTACCCCTGAGGGCAAATTGTGAAAATCTAGCATCTCCAGAAGATCTGTTGGCTGAGCTGCAAAGACAAAGAAGCTATGTGAGTACCAGGTGTACACAACTGTGGGACACCCCCAAAGAGACAACTGAAGCCAACCCTCATCTCCCTTCAAACTTCCACCTCCAACAAGCATCTGGTGTTCAGAAGAGGTTGGGGGCCTGCTCAGGACCAGTAGGGACACCTTAGAAGTGGTTTTGTCTACGTTCCTGCCATCAGCTCCCCGGGGTCAGAGTCTGGCCTCGTCTACACTCTTGCATTACAACCTGCAGGGATTTCTTACTCCAAATCCTCCATTGGCCTAAGCCACACAAGCTCCACTTGTCTCTCCACTGTCACTGGTGTTATTTTGTCCTCCATGTTCCAACAACAGTTCACAGCAAATATCCAAATCCCATCTGCCTTCAAAAGACCTAGGCCTGAATACCCAGGACAGGAGAATGCTTGTAGGGACTTCAGATCCCTTTAGGAAGACTTCTGACTCTCCATTCTTAACGAGCCACTCAGAGAAAGGCAGACTTGGCCCTCTAACCTCTGAACTACAAGTGCTCGTTCAAGAGCTCATCAGTCACCCCTGCAATGATTGTCAACTTGACCTTGTAAGAGTGTTTCGTGAGGAAGTGCTTATATTGGGCTGGCCTGTGGACATGTCCATAGGGGATTAACTTAAATTAAGTGATGTGGGAAGACACAGCCCACTGTGGGTGCCACCATTCCCTAAGCAGGAGGTCCTGAAGTAAAAGAGCGAAGAAGTCAAACTGAACACGAACAAGCAGGTGAGTTTCTGTGCATTCATTTCTCTCTGCTACTGACTGCGGATGTGATGTGACCAGCTGTTTGAAGATGCTGCCTTGACTTCCTCAAAATGATGAACTGTAACCTAGAATGCTAAACTGAAATAAATTCCTTTCTCCCCTAGTTTCTTCTTGTCAGGGTTTTTTGTCATAGTGACAGAAATGAAGTTGGAACATCCCCAAATACAAAGCATGCCCCTCTGTCAGAGCCCCCTTTCCTCCCATTCAGAGGCCTTTGAGTGACACATGTTTGTCTCAGCCTACTTGATTTCCTGTTTACCTATGCTCAGCTTGAGTTACAACAAATAGGAAGCTCTTGGATATCCAGCGAAGAATAAAATCCAAAGTGGTACCACAAGAGTAGTGTGAAACCTCCTGTCACATGCCAGGCTGGACCAGTGTTGATCCAGCCTGTGGTTTTCCTCTGGGGAAAGGATTCTGCTATTTGGCTGTATATGGGCTACATACACAAGAGAGGCAGACTCCTGCCATGCTAAGTGGGAACCTGGATCCAGTTATGGCTGAAGGGCATCTATACATGCCCATGTGTTCATTCTGTGTGTGCCCATCTGTGTCATACCACATGCCATGCTAAAAACTCAGCACCCATATCTGAAGGCTGCAGGAGGCTTGAAACTGGCCCATCCAGTAACTCTCCTCCCTAAATTCAAGTCCCCAACTTCCCACCTTTCTCTCTGAGTGCTACTGTGGGACGCCCCAGGAGGACAGTCAGACTGTTTTTAAGAAGATAGTAGCAAAAGATTTTCATCCAGGTTTCTGATTGATACTCCAGCAGCAGCCATAAAGTCTGGAGACTGACATGTTACCTTCTGCTCCAAAGCTACCTAGGGGGGCCAGGTCTGCAGTCAACTTTTCAGCATCCTTCAATAGTTACTCCAAAGAAGTGATCCCCACCTCTACAGGAACTCATTATGAAGGACAGCAGTGTGGACAGCAAGCCCACTATTGACCCAGGATGGCCTCCACCCATTTCAGAATCCTAGGCAGCTCTTAGCCACTACCCAGTGCCCAGTCCCACATAAGGTATCAGTCACTTGTGTATCTGTGGCACCTCCCAGGTACTCTATGTGGTGACAAAGCCCTCACTGGGACCTTGTCCAGTGAACATCAGAGGCAATGCTGAGCCTGCTGGCAAGGTTGTGAGGCATAGTCCCAGGCCTGGACACAGTCGTGGGAAGATGGCCATGCCAACTGCCAGCACACCTGGCCAGAATGACACAGCACTGAACCTTGGGTCATTTTGGAAACTCAGCTCCAAGGCTGGCAGTGGCCAAGGGGAGAGATGAGGATCCCAGCAGGATTTCCTGGACCTTCATCATAGCAACCATACTATGATGCTCTTCCCAGACCAGACCAGAGCCTGGTTTCCCCATTGACAAAGCAGAGAGTAGTTTAGCAGGTGCCTGTCTGGGGATGTTTGTAGATCTGTTTTGCAACAAGTTTAAAAGGCCACCAGACCTTTCCTAGGCCCAGTGCCACACTTTCTGCTGGCCAGGGTCTTTCTGTGCCGAAGAACAAGATATATTTAGTCTTAAACAAGGTGTGGGGAGCACCAGGGTAGTGTCCAGCATACAGGCCTCTGGAAAACTCTCCCTCCCACATTGGATGCTTATCTGCCCTTCAAACCGGTGCCATACCCAGGTTGAGCGCCTCCACTCTGAGGTAGCAGGGGCTATTGGAACAGATGGATGTGCTAAGAATGCAGAGTCACCCCTTCCCCAAGAAGATAATCCCAACTGAGGCCAGTTTTAAAAGCCGCAGAAGCCATCTGGAATCTGCCAGGGACAGTTCCCAGAACCCCATAGCTCAAGTACAGGGCCCCTGGGAGGAAAATGGTATTCTTGGTGCCTTCAGGACTCATCTGAGTCCCAAAACTCAGGGAGAACACACATGGCATTACATCTGTGGCCTTTGCTCCCAACAAGAAGTAAGAGTCACTTGAGAGAGCCTGAAGAATCCTGAGACCCATTGCCTACTGCAAATGAGACCACCTCCAAATGCTTTGTGTGAAAGAATCCCATTGCTCTTTCAAGGCTGTTCCACCTATGATCAGATCAGACTCCAGAGAGAGAGCTGTTGTCTTCAGCTAGACCCAACCTCCTCCGTGCTCCTCCATAGCATGGGAGACTAAAACTAGATATTTTTGCGGTTAGAATTATTGCAGCAAGCCAGAACCTACCAGTCAAAGATTATCCTAGAGTAGAATAGGAGCTTGCAATAGCCTTCCCAACCTGCCTTAGGGCCATGTCTGTGAGGCAGGCAGAGCGCTAAGACCCCTGCATTTGGGCCTGGTGCCCAGCCTGAGGGACTTCAATACTACTGCAGCAGTGGTTCTGTTGTGTAAGTAACAGCCTCACTGTGATAGCATGACCTTGAATATTACCTCAAACGTCTGAATCCAGCAGGATCTGCTCTCCAGACAGCTTGCCTTCCCCCAGACAGCCTGCTACTCAGCTATGCATATGGCACGCTTGCCTTTGAGGAACATACAAGAGGGGCAGGGGCAGCACTAAGCCACTGACCTCAGTTTGCATCACATCACACAGGAACCCAGCCCCTAGGAGACAGGAGCCCTGCTGTCACTTTTAGACACAGAAAGGAACAGATGTTGGCCCATCCCTCAGTGGACAGAAACCCAAGAGGCTTGACTCAGCCTCTCATGTATGTTCATGGTCAGTCCAGACACTTGCTACTAACACCCCAGGATCTCCATACCATTTTAATGCTGATGGAACCAGATGTGATATCTCTAAACTGGAAAGTGAATGCAAGAGAGCCTAGTTCTAAGATAAAAAGAGGGGTAACTAGGGAAGCAGTTGGAATCATGTAACTGAGTTCCGGATATTCAACACACAAAGGGAGACATGCCACCAAGAGGCTCAGATGAAGAAGATAAGATAGACAAAAAGGATGGATGGATGGACAGATGGACGGACAGATGGACAGACAGATGGATGGGTAGATGACTGACTGGTTGGTGGAATAGAAGAGTGCATGAATGAATGGATTAGTGAATAGATGGAGAGAGAAATGGACAGTAGGTAGATGGATGGATGGATGGATGCATGGATGGGTGGGTGGATGGGTGGATGGGTGGGTGGATAGGTGGTGGGTTACGTTTTCTTGGGAAGATATGAACAAACATCAATTCACCCTAGATAAAGCAACAATGACAGACCAAAGAAAGTTTTCCACCCAAGGCTAGCATGGCAAACCAATGAGTTTAACTTAGGTCTTACAGGAGCATGGACAAACTAGAGGTGGTTATACTGACATGGAAGAGACATGTCCCCACCCAGCAATAGTTAATCACTTGTACCTCAGGAAGAAGCAAGACCTTGTACACTGCCTCATGTGCAACCACATGAGCCATTTGTGGACATCTAGGACACCTGTGAGCCTTCTCTTCCATCTAGAAAGGATGTTAGTAGACCCAGTCTTATAAATCTCATGTGGATAATTATAGCTGTTCTGATTTCAAGACAGCAATAGCCATGTCACGCTTGGAGGATAACATTCATCAATGGTTAGGTGAATGAATAGACCAATGGACTAATGGATGATGGACAGTGGGAGAGTGGGTGGGTGGGTAGATGCATGTTAAATGGATATGGATAAGTGAACAGGCCAATGGATGGATGATGAATAGATATGGATGGTAAGGGGTAAATTGATAGATACGGATTATGGATAGATAGATTTATGGATGATGAGAAGTGGGTGGATGGATGGATAGATGGACGGATGGACGGATGGATGGGTGGGTGGAGGGATGGATATTAATGGCAGGCAGGCAATAGTGGATAAAAAGATAAGTGAGTAGTGGGTGACCAGATGGATGGAGGGAAGAATTAATCACTCACTCACTGAGAAAGTGAGGGATGGAATGAGGCAAACCAGGAGGCAAATGCCAAAGATGGGTCTTACAAATGGCTAACCAGTCACATGTTTCATGTTCCAGTGACACTGTCACTTCTAACCGTCACAGGGTATCCTTCCCCGGCCCCAAGAGGCATTTCTTGCATCACCACTAGGCCCTTGGCTGCTGTGTGCTCCTGCAGAGCTGAGACCTGGAGTGACTTAGGTCACGTCGCCCTGACGCCTCCCATGCACTCACTTCACAGCTACAGGACACGAAGCATCATTGGATAATCATAGCACATTGGTTCTCCTGACCTGCTTGCCGCCCAGAGACAGACAACTAAA